CCGATGTTCAACGCCACCAGATTTCCGGCACCGTGCAGGAGAAAGAGTTAGCGAGTTTCCAGTTAAGGACTCGGGAATCAGTGGACTGCAGCCAATGACATCGTTAATGCATATTAATAAATATCTGAGATACTTTTCAGGCGTATGTTATCGGCGTACCGATAGTCGTCAAGCTTCGCGATTTTCTTCGCACATGTTATGTCTAAGAACTTGACCAAACTCCCATTTCGTACTTTCCGCTGGAGAGTGCTAGAGATCGCTTCATCGGGAGCAGTTAATGTTGTGCGTAAAATATTGTATAGTGCGGTTTTTGTGCCTCTGACTTTCAAGGCCCTTCTTCACGGTGGCATTATGTCAATGTGTTTCCCGTCTTTCTCGGTCGTGCCGCTAGATGTAGCATGATCGCTTCTGAATAGCAAAGCTGTAAACGGTCGCGATTATGCGACATCTAGCGGCACGACCGAGAAAGACGGGAAACACATTGACATAATGCAAGCGTGAAGTAGGGCGTTGAGGGGCAGAGTTATAAAACCCGCACTAAAGTGACACGCACAGTCACTAGATTTGATCTTTAGTGAGATGGTTCCAACCTCAAATAGGTGTTATATTTAACTGACTTCCAATACTACGACCAGCTTTAGTCCTGAATTTAGAGCAGTGGTTCCCAACGGGGTGGTATCGACCCTTTGTGGATTGCCCAAAGTTTAAAGGCAGTCAGTGATGATCAAGGTGTCGATAGGAGGTCGAAAGCCGAATGTGTACTGGCGACTGATCGGAATAATCAAGTAACTATTGGTCACAAAATAATCTAAATTAAGTTTATAATTAATTGTTCCGTTATAATAACTTCTTGTATTTGTAAAAATTTAAAATTACAATTGTATAAAAAATAATACTTCTACTGTAGCATTTTTTTCAAAATTTTAATTTTATTCTTTGTCTAATTGTTATCAAGTCATTAATGTGCAGTTACTTGTGCTTTGATTACGTTGTAAGCTGTATATTATAGAAAAAATAACTGGTGGTTGATGAAGCAAAGCATTGTTTTATAGGAGATCGATGTAAGAGAAATAATGGGAATCCCCGATTTAGAGCGTGATGATAATAATATTTTGAACTGTACAAACTTACATAGGCTTCTAAGTTTATCTTTCTATATCCTTGTGGAAAAGACGAACATTATTTCAAAAAGGCTCCCTCTATCCGCCGAAACTTCGGCTGTCGTCTTCCGCTGCGGTTCAGCTCCAAAGAGGTCTTACGGAAACTCATAAGAGCACCACGGAGAGTCTCGCGGCGTCTACTTCAAAGCCTCACGGTCGACCGAAACTGCGCAAATCGCTGAGCACAATGTACTTTCTATTACCACCGAGCAAGCATTTCAACTCACTTCCGCCAACGACTGCAAACAATCTTGATTAAGTGATTCTTACAACTAAATACATTATAATTACTTAAAATTGTTAGAAATATGTGAACGTTTATGAAGTTTACGTAATATGAAAATAAGAACATAAATGTTACTTAAAAAAATGTTGGTTGCATTTTTGAAACTTAGAAAACCTTGCCGCTGTTTAAATAACAATTATATTGAAAAAACACTTTTAAAATCAAGCACATTCACAATATACTCTTTATCCATTCGCGCTCACGAAGACAATTCTACCTACTAAAACTATTTTCAGAAGTGGTTTTTGGAAGGAGTTTGTCACAAAACCAAACTAACATTTTCTTCGCATCTGATGCTTTTCTCGTTTTCTTTTTCTTCTTCTACACACCATGCTCTCATAATTCACCACATAGCATACCCACATAATTAGATAACAATTAGGAGAATTAAAAAATCTTTTTGAGACGACTGCAATCAAATGTGCAGAAATGGAATCAAAACGATAACAATATGACCATAAAAATATTAAAATTCATAAAAAATATGAACATAATATTACATATTAACGGAAAATGATAAAAGAATTTTAAAAAGCCAAAATATGACCGTATATGACAGTTGAAAATTGCGTTATTTTAGCTATTGTAGATATAAAGCATGCTAAACTTATATTTTCCATGGAAATAACATAAAGAAAAATATGACATGTCATAAACATCCGGGGTCTAGTTATAATAATAAAGTGAACACTTTTCAACGCTTTTATTCTCTACTGGGTTTAAGATATTTAGGACAATGTACGCACTTTGTAAAGGTTCAATTGGTTTATATAATTTTGGCGAAAGTGACTTTCAAATAATGTTCCTGATATAAGTGTTGTTTTCATACCTGAAATATTTTGTGAGATTTAAAGAATTTTAAATTGTGAAATTGCAGTCAACTTGATCTTACATGTTTACAAAGCTGTAATGTATAAAATACCCAGTGAAGTTGGTCAGGGCGTAGCGCGCTG